TCTGTGTCTATGAAATATTTGTTGGAAAATAAATGAATAAATAAATGAAATATATTAGAAGTCAGGTAATACTTAGAAATCGAGAATGGAAACAGCTTCCATATGTGGAGACGCCTATTATTGTTCATGATAAGCATCAACAGAAATGATCATTTTCATACTCATATATATTTCCGATCATCCTCGAGTTGTGGAAGAGCGGTTAGTGAGGTGTGAGCTAACTGGAATTAAACCGTTTAATTGAAGTAGCCCTAAAAAAGTTAACGGCATATCCTATGAACAAATTAATTATTTAATTTTCTACTTCCTCTATTCGATTTCCTACCAGTCATACAAACAATCACTCTTTTCAACATTTCATCGGTAAATGCTAAAACTAACTCATTTGCGTATGACAAAGTTGACGAGACACTTTACTGTGGCGTTCACTGTCTACTCACAGTTTCATTTCTTCTCACACCATGATAATTCGGTGAGTAGCATAGAAATTTGCATTAATTTGCAATGGAGAAAATTAACATCACTAAACAAATTTTAGACTCCACTTTCACTTTGTAGTAACTCCTTTATTTAAATGCTTATCTTATTACTAAGTTGATAAGTATTTTAATTAATGTTTGTGGTAAAACTTTTGAACAAAATTCACATTCAAGAGCGCGCTCAAATTCGTCAGGCAGTTTAAAATTTCACATTTTAACCTATTGCACTGAGAAAGGCTATATTAGCGAGTGATTCTTGGTGTCAAATGAAATTCAAAAGTCAACTGCACATGAATTTTCTATTTTTACTGAAATTGAACGATATTGGGAATCAATAAACTCTAAAAACTGACTAAAAATTAGGTCACAATCTCGAAACATGAAAGGAACACATTTCATAGGAGATATTTGTTGAAATTTAAAGGTAACATAAGTATTCAATTTCAATTGCATACACTCATTGGGATTCCAGTGGTGAATGTACTACTTCACAATTCCCTTGGAAAAAAAACCCACACCCTAAAAATTTGTTTCCAAACTCTATAAAGTTTTGGGGGTTAACTTTATTTCTCGCTCTTGAAACACAGATCCAGTTATTGCGGTTTGAGCTTGACTCAAGGTGAAATTCATTCTTTTTCTCTTCTCCTATTGTCAATAGTTAATATTTTAATGCGTGCATTATGTGCACACTGGAGCAGCCCGCATCATAATAGCTATCTAACCACCTACCAAAAATGTTCACATCTTTCTCTTAATAATTAGGCAAGCAATGCTCTTAGTCTTTTGGCACGCTATTTGTATTGCATTGTATTAGCACTTTTATTATCTCTCAAGTATAAAATAATATGTTCGGAATATTTAATTTAGTGCAGATGGCAGGAGTTTTGATAGTTATCATTAGCCCTTTAGCTGACTTCGGACTTCACAGAGGGGAGAAACATCATAGTGAGAAATATTCGAGAAGGGAGAAAGAAGAGTGATTCACAGATGTAAATAAACATTTTTGCCGTATGAGTATACGTTGCCCAGGGTGCATCACTTGGAGGTAAGTCTATTGAGCACCCCCTTGTTCAGAATATAATATCACCAAGTGATAGTACTAACGCGACTGGATGTTTTCTTTCTATCCTTGCCACGTTAAAATTTCCACATTGAGATAGGTAAACGTCCATTTCAGTATTGTAAGTCTTCGCAGCTGATGACAGAGAAATTGGCATTCAAGTGCCTTTTGAAATCATGTGAGCTCGGATAATTGACACTTTCACGATATAGTAAGATTTGCTCAGAGATTCTTTTATGTGAATATTTACCGCTTTTGCTCAAACTCGCCTAACTTGATATAAATGCTCGTAAATGAATTAATCTGCCAACGTTTAATCAGGAGGCGATGACAGATGGGGTGTCAAAACAATTAATCTAGTCGCTGTAATGACACGGACGTCAAACGAACAACCAAACACGTGTAGCAGACTTGTATTAGAGATCTGTGTTATCAGAGTTTTAATAGATCACGCCAGTTTCATTTTAGACATTAGGGATGACATGTAGAACTAAACGCATGAGTTGGGCGTTCGGTTTTAACGGATCGCAACAAAACGAACAGAATATTTCATTATGAATGGCCTGTGCGTGCATCCTTTGTCAATTTAATCAAAAATACCTTTCTTTCTATTTAATACTCGGATGGGTTTACTTCTAGCAGGCTTTCAATGTGATATGTGGTGAATGATCCACTTTGGCAATTCTTTTGCATCTGATGTTAAGCCCTTTTGTGAAATTAGGTGCCAGGATCCTCTACATACATTGCCCACTTTGTCAAAGAACCTGTGTGAAGTGAATAAATGTGCTCTTGGAAACCGTATTTGACGAGATGCGCTTTAAAGTTGGTACATTTAATATGGGAATAGAAAACATCAACACTTGCACATATTCTTCTACTTGCGGCCTTTGCAATTTCATTTTATTAGTTTTCAAAATACCATGAAATAGGTTAGGCTGAAGTTGATGTCGAATGAATGAGCATGACAATCAGTAAAGTAAACTAATGCTTTTTAAATTTTGGAAATGGGATGAGAGCATGGTAAACTAGCATTTTTAAAGAGTTGATACAAATAACTTAAGTATAGATCATACGTAAGTATTACAATTAACCAGAATACAGAATTATCGACGCAATGCAATTTTATGTATTTCCCTGCCTTATTAGAGAAAAACCCCAATATTTTAATTCGATTTAATCATGAAAATAAAATACGATTGACTGAAAGGCGAGAACCGTTGCCCTCAAAATCCTCTACAGTCCTACTTGCTTCAAGTGTGCAAACTATGCTCTTCACTCCTACCAATGAGTACATCAGGCGATGCAATTAACCCAATAACTAGGACCAACCTGAATTAATAACTCATTTCGTTCTCGTAATCATTCATTTGAGTCGTGAGATATCATGATTAACATGCCTGACACACCCTATTACTCTCTGTTTACCTGTTTATCCCCAGCGCTTTGTTGTTCCTTTTGATTAACAAACTTTTAGTTTAAATCGATAGCGTTGCAGAGAAATGCAATGTGTCTGAAAAATTGAGCTTGACTTCAGGCGGTTATATATAGTCTGCCTCAAGTAAAGTTCAAGATGAAACTCCTACTGGTTATATTGGTTTTGATAGCGCTGCCAAAAGTGAACATTTTTTGCTTCAAGCACAGTGCCAAATTGAGGACAATTTGAATTACTCCATTACAATAGGTGTAAATTTAGAGGGTTTTCATGGGGGTTTAAAATGTATGTGAATGTTTAAACTTTATTACATTTGAAGTAAAGTTATTAAGGTAAATATTTGAGCACTTTAATCATCAAGATACTCAGTTTATCAAGACAGAAATGTATTAAGTTTGTAGCGGTAATTTTAATTGAGTGGTGAATTACAGCGAAATAATTGTTACCTTCAAAAGATTGCCAATTTTATCAATAAGGTTCATAACTTAAAAAGTGAAAAAATCAACTCATGTTGCATTTATTATGAGATTAAATTTATAAAGATAATAAAATATGAATTTTCTTTGGAAGTCATTGTAAATAAATTAACACAATGAATAAAACTCTTGTTAAATGCCTATAAGGTATGAAATATTTTATAACAAATGGCAGGCGTATTGATATTTTCATAAGCCCCTTAGTTGACTTCGGGCCACACATAGGGGAGAAGAATTCAGGAGGGGAACAGAAGGGTGATTTACAGATGTAAAAGAAACAGACAGACACAAAGGCTCAGAAAGGGTAAGATGAGTACTATAGAAGTGGTCGGATATGACATACAGTGGAGGTGATGGTAGTTTGAAGTGAGAAGTCAACTTCCGGTTAATAGACTTTTTTGCCGTATGACTATACTTTGTCCAGGTTGCACCACGAGGAGGTAAGTCTATCCCGCACCCCTCAAATGCCGAGTGATAGACTATTTTGCCGTACGAAGATACGTTGTCTAGGGTGCACCACGTGGAGGTAAGTCCATCGCACACCCCCAGGTATGAAATATTTATTTATATCAAATGGTAGGCGTCTTGATGGTTATCATTAGCCCTTTAGTTGACTCCAGGCTTCACAGAGGGGAAAGAACATCAAAGGGAAAAAAGTCGAGAGGGAGAGGGGAAACAGAAGAGAGTTTCAAAGATGTAAAAGAGACAGACACAAAGTGGAAAAAGGTGGGGTGAGTACTGTGGATGTAGTCGAATATGACATACAATGGGGTGAGGGTAGTTTGAAATGAGAAGTCAACTGCCAGTTAATAGACTTTTTTGCCGTATAAGTATACGTTGCCCAGGGTGCACCACGTGGAGGTAAGTCTATCGCACACCCTGGTATGAAATATATAAATCAGTGAATATATCTATAATCAAATGTAAAATAACTATTAATAAATTAGTGTAAATTGATGCTTATAAAGGAATGCGTATCATAAGTCAGTCGAACTATTTCAATTATCTAAACGTGGTCATCACTCAATTTATTGATTTTCCTAATGATTGAAATGATAAAATTTCTCCCATAAACTATAATCAAAAGGGAGGATATTTAAATCTTGTATATTTCATAATATATTTAGCCATATAGCTTTTTTGCATTTTAATGAAAAAATTAAAGTATTTAATTTGTTTGACTGTATCACATTAAATCCCTCAAGCCAATGTCGTTATACGAACTCGTGCCTCAATATACTCCTCAAGGTTATTCCGAAGAAATATATTTATGACTTGCACGTTAGTTGCTCAAATAAACCGGAATTGAACGTTTCAATTTGTTAGTCTATAAATTTGTAATCTTTAATTTTTATGAGCATTTACTTTTTTTCTATATATAATTTTTTACTTCTATATTTAAAAAATTGCTTACCGTTTAATTCATAAATCATGCACTGAATTTATTAATTTTTGGAAATATGTGATATTCGGAAATAAATGCGACTTTCTAAATTTTTCGGTAGAAATAATGTTGGAAAAAAACAGAACTACTTTTGGTGGTCGTGGGATTTATGATTGCTTTCATTAGTGCCTTTGGTCTTGGTGCAAATGATGTTGCAAATTCCTTTGGCACTAGTGTTGGTTCTAAAGTCTTGAGCCTCAGAGCTGCTTGTATCTTGGCAACTATCTGTGAAATCTCCGGTTCTGTTCTTCTTGGTGGTGAGGTTTCTGCTACTGTCAGGGGTGGAATAATCGATCCAACCAGATTTAACACAACCGAAAATGGCCCTTTGAAGCTAATGCAAGGACAGGTTTCATCCCTTGTTGGTACGGTATATTATTTTCAATCTTCAACCTTTTGATAACTTAATTGGGAAATTTTATTAAATTAAGGTTCAACCCTGTGGATGATGACTGCTACTTTCTTCAAAATGCCCGTCTCTGCCACCCATAGTATTGTCGGTGCAACCGCTGGTTTTGGTCTTGTGCTATTTGGACTCGAAGGTATTAATTGGATAGGAATTCTAAGAATAGGTAATTCTACATGAAATCTAAGTATTTTTAACACCATTTGTTTCGATTATTCTTGAATAACTTTGTTTATTAGTTGCTTCCTGGTTCATTTCTCCTGTGTTGAGCGGTCTTGTCTCATGCTGCCTATACCTCGTTATCAAATACACTGTTCTAAATAAGGTAAAACACCAATTATGGATTTCAAATTGCTCCTCCAATAATGCTTTTTAACTTAAAAACTATAACGATTTTAGTCAGAACCACTTGAACCTGCTTTGTATACTCTTCCGTTTCTCTACGGAATTACCATTGCCGTAAATCTGTTTTCCATTCTCTATGGTGGTCTCGAAAGTAAGTTAGTCTTTCATTTTTGCTGTTGTATTGTAATTAAAATTACTTAAATATATCCTTGTTTATTTTTATTCAATAAGTTCTAAATATACCTAAGATCGAACTTTGGATTGTTCTTATTGCTTCATTTGGATCGGGAATTGTCACAGCCCTTATTGTCTTCTTCTTTGTTCGTCCTCTTATACGTAAAAAGGTTCAAAGTAAGTAAGGCTTAATTAATTTCATCGAAAGACGTCTTTGTAAAGCATTTGTGATAATATTCATTATTTTGCCATTCCCAGAACGCCTTGAAATTATTGCCAGTGGAGACCTGAGTGCTCTTGAGAAGAAGTCGAAGTTATCTCTTCTCAAAGAGTTCCGCACTAGGGTTATCGCGTTTTTCTGCCGTCGTCGTAACCACCCCATCACTGTCGGGGAGTCTGATGACGAAAAGACAGGTAGAGTCTGCATTTACTTTATCTTGAATTATTAATCACGTAAGAATTTCAAACGCAACTTTGTTCCTGATCCGTTCTCTTTCAGCACTTTATTGATATCGATGCGTACATTATGTTATGCTACTTGTTTTAATGTTCTACTTTCATATCCTCTATTGTTTATACTAATAGAACTGAGAATTGCTTGTTTAGGTAATGTTAGAGCTACTGGCGCTTTGCTGAGCGCCAAATAAACAGACACACGGGAGAATAACTTTAATGATGGTGAGAGGCATTCGCAAGTGAGTAATTTTAACTTTTACGGTCTATTAGACTACTAATGTTATACTGCTTAATTATTATTCTCCAGAGTACTCTGGCTCTTAGGCGGCCTGGTTTCCAGACCAATTTTATGATGTACAAGGTAGTTAAGTCTATATTTCTGGTCCATATTGGACCATGTGCTACGTAGGCTAGATTAGAGTAGTAGATAAATGAAGTTTGTTAGGATTGTTACCTTGGCATTTTCTTAACGGTCTCTTCTTCAATTTTTTCAATGTCTGATTTCAAATAGAGCACGCTGGTGATGTGGCGAATATCGATCTTGAAATTCAGTCTTCCCCACCAACTGTGATAATTGAAGATCATATGGCACCCGAAGACGCCAAAATTACCGTCAGTTATTTATCTAATGTAATTTTCGTTTACTTTTCGCTTTCTACACCCGAAAAGTCACACAGGATATTTCTTTTTGCATTCTTTTGTCTTTAACTAGATCGATCCTGATTATCAGGTCCGCGAAAGGCCTGAGGAGACACAAGTGTTTGCTTTTGCTCAGATTCTCACAGCCACTTTTGGTTCATTTGTTCATGGTGGAAATGATGTGAGCAATGCTATCGGTCCAGTTATAGGCTTGTGGATTGTGGCGACAACTGGAAATGTTCTGATGGCAGCAACTCCTGCTGCTTGGATCCTTTTCTATGGTGGTGTTGGTATCTCTGTAGGCCTTTGGACTTGGGGACGAAAGGTCATGGAGACCATAGGAACAGATTTGACAGAAATTACAACGACTACGTGAGCTTTTTTTGTGGTCTCGAGGAAATTTTCCATCTGTTCATTAATCTTGTTTATTAATCAGTTGCTGTTTTCTTTACATAGTGGTGTATGTATTGAGTTGGGGGCAGCATTGACAGTGTTGATAGCCAGTAAAGTTGGTCTTCCAATCTCGACAACACACTGCCTGGTCGGTTCAGTGATTTTTGTTGGTTTCTTGAGGAAAAAGAAGAGTGTAAATTGGAAACTCTTTATGGGGATTGCATTTGCCTGGATTATTACCCTTCCTGTATCATGCGGTCTCTCAGCCCTTACCATGTACATATTTACCACGTCATATTGAGACCTCGGAATCTCAACTGGAGATGTTGCATTGCCCTGAATCGCCTTGTATCTTTTTTATTAATGAAAAAACACCCATTTATATGCAACTCGCAATGCAACACCAAATCATAAAACTACTTATTCGATGTTTTTTTCTAAATTTTCATCAAAGATTATTTAACCTCCATACTTAAATATATTTTATGCAAAAGTAAATACAATCCTTGTATCCGATCAATTTGTCTTTTCATTTATCGATGTAAAATGGTATTAAAATAAACATTCATTATTATTTATTCATGTTAAAAATATCTTTTCTGCACATTTCAATAAACGAATTAAAAGTAGTTAACAATATACATGGGCTTTGAAAAGAACACACACTGCTTGAAGTTTTATGCGAACCTCAATTCGACAGGCATTTTAAACTGCACGGGACTCCATAGTGGAACTTGAGGCGTTTACTTTTTTTCAGGTTGCTTCTGATGGTATTTTCCTGAACTGAACATCACCTTTTTACCCGTCCTTCATCATCTTGGAAACTCGATTCACTGGTTTTCCAAATTTAGAGTATGTGTGTGGCTTGATTCTCTCTTGAAAACTAAGTACCACAAGATCGTTAAGTGTTTTGTCTAAAGTTTTCTTGTCGAATCATTTGCTTGGTTGTGTCTGATAAACTATGAATTTTGCGAAAAATGGTAAATTTTCATATTAACGAGTGCAGACATGTGGTTTTAATAAAGTAGGTCATTGTCTACCCACCAAAAGGGTCAAAACATTCACATAACTGCCACCTATTGGCAACAAATTACCTTTAAGTAAACCAGAAAACTTTTCACATAATTTTGGATAACGTGTTGTTATTTTCAATGGGTTTTGCCCCATTTTAATCAATTCCAGGCAAAGTTTACTTATTTATATAAGTAGAAATTGAGGCCCTGTTAAAAAGAAAGACAATTAAATAAATTTGTCTAAGTAGTATCAATTGAGGATGACAATAAACTTGAAGCGACCCGGTTGCCCAAAATTCTTTAAAGAGGACGCTAGGGGCGACTTCCACTTTCTACGTGATGATTTTATTGAAGAAAGTTGGTGAAAGTAGGCATAGATAGAACCCTGGTAAATGAAAGTCGATGAAATAAGTTTACTCCGTCTGACCTGACGTCATGGATAGTAGTCAACCATTGTCGTTCAAACACCAAAAGCGTAAACCCCACTTCCAGATAATTAAGGATAAAACAGCGGTGCACTTAACTTAGCATCAGTCGCAAATATTTACTATTACTCCTTCATAAAAATCAATGGGGATTTCCGATCGATTCGAACTTTTCAGTAGGCAATGATGGCTGCTACATCCATTACCAAACCGTTACTTTGTCAGTTAAAATCGGATTTAAGCGATCTTTGAAATGACAACCGCATAGTTTCTTCAGAGTTAAGTCTTGAGGTGACAAAAATTCTGAACCCCTGAACAGGATTTCACATCCTTTTTCCGGAATATGTCCTTGCATCTTTAAAATGACGTGAATTTGCTTGAGTAGCGGAAACCTTAGTGTTTTTTACAAATTTTCTGAAATATAATATTTATTTACTAGTGGAAAGGAATATGTTTGTTGTTGCATAGCTTGTGCGAATGATTAATACCCTTATAAACATAAATTGTCTTATTTATGGGGCTCGTGTGCATAAATCTATATGTTCATGAAAATGCAAGGGTTTAAAGGTACTTGCTTAGGTAGTAAGGTGTAATTAGTTCCTTAAAAGTTTAATCACTCCCTCTGTTCGGGAGTGAGTTCAAATGGAGGAACATAAGTCGGATTCAACATTGATCTTTGAAGAATTGGTTGTATTATCGAGCAATCTCCCCCCCCCTCCCTCAGCCATGTAAATTTCAAAATTTGACATTCTTCTACATATATCGACCATGAATTTCGCAAAGACATCCAGATATAAGGCACTTTAAGTCATTATAATTCCATTTGTGGAATGCTACTGTAAGACCATGATTTGCCTTTAAGCCAAAGTTAGTGTTGAACCGAGAGTATTCACTCATAGCCCCTTCACTTTTAATCCTTTTAGGTTGAGTTTAGTAGCTTAGGAATGAAAATAAACTTTCTTTTCCCACTTACTACGCAACCTTGTTGGATTTCCCTCTTAAGTTATTATTTATTTATTGAAATTTTCAGGGATTATGCCCCCTTCTCACCTATTTTCTGATGAGAAATAAATTGCAAAAACGTGTATTTGGTAATTCTTCTGTCTGGTTTCCGTCAGAGTAATTTAATTACTTTAAGCACCCATAGTATCCAAGTGCATTTCCATCCTGTGAGCTCCGATTTCGGAGTCTGAAGTGGTACAACTGTAATCAATGATGTTTCAAAGACAATACGGGTGTAATGCATGAATGTGTACTTAGTAAGTACCTATTCATAAGACTTGTTTGTTGGCATTGGAATGTATATTCTGCCAATAGCAGAAGTACTAAAAGGATAAGATGTCTCTTTCAGTACCACTAAATAGCTGCTCAACTTAATTTTAGTTTATGAGGTTGGCAAATAGCCTATTTTTGCCCATATTTGTGATAGTTCGGAGATTATCATTGTAGTAACATCACAACTGAGTGACCTAAAATGTGCTGAAAAGATTTGTAACTCCCAAAGAACTGAAGTTAACCAAAGAGACTGCCCAATGTTCTACGAATGATTGTTTGAAATAAATGCTCTGAAATTTCATCATGATGGAAAAATGGAAAACTTTCATAAATTTGGCTCATTTAGATAGTCAAGTTGTAATTTAATATAATTTACCTAATTTAAATCCACACCCTCAATAGTTTCCAAGTTTTCGGCCTTGGTAAATATAATGATTTATCTATGATTGAAATGAATTCTTATTTCACTTTAATTGTCGTGGCCAAAAAATTCGAAATAATGCTTTGTAGTTATTTTTCCAAATATCTTACCTAACTCACTATAGAAGTTCATAAATTTATTTTCTTAACTGAGGATGAAATGAAAAAAAAGAGATTTTTGGTTGAAGTTATGCGATTTTAATCGCAAAATATCCTGTAGTAATCACAGCTGAAAACGATTCTAAAGGCCTAACTTTTGATTGGTTGGTATTTGATGCCCGCCTATCGGTGGAATCAACACAATTCATCGGTGGAAAATATTGAGTCCTGCTACATGAGACGATGCGCACAAAAAACTCGCGTCACAAACCTTTTCTTTATTGGTGTAAATTAAGTTTTAAATCGCAAAAACCCTGTCTTCCCTATAAGCTCTNCCCCCCCCCTCGGTTCTTAAAGGGGAAGGAATGCTTGAGAGTGGTGTAATAGGAAAACTCAAAACCATTTGGAGACAGGAAAATGGGAGTGGTGTTGGCACCTTAAGTAAATTCAGATACGAAAGTTATTTTACTCTCAAATGAATTGAAAAGTGCAGTAATTAGATCACAAGAATATATTATTTATAATTCCTCCACTTTTATGTCAAATCTGAATGTTACTTGCATAAAATTCTCCGATATCCTGAAATCCTGAAGAGCAAAAAAACATCAATGAAAATTCGAATTTCTGAGAAAATCTACCCAATAACCATTTTACTCTGCAATTCAAGTGGTTTACTATCCAAAGTGCTAAGTAAGTCAACATAATTCATTTAAAAGAAAGGACACCCTAACAGTGGAAGTTTTAAATCGAACACTCACGTACAAGGGGTGTGCGATAGACTTACCTCCACGTGGTGCACCCTGGGCAATGTATACTCATACCGCAAAAAGGTCTATTAACTGGCAGTTGACTTCTCACTTCAAGCTACCATCACCCCACTATATGTCATATTCGACTACATCCACAGTACTCACATCACCTTTTCTACCTTTTCTACCTTCGCCTTTGAAACACTCTTCTGTTCCCCCAATCAACTAGACTTTTTTTCGCTTTAATGTTCCTTCCCCTCTGTGAAGCCAGAAGTCAACTAAATGGCTAATGATAACTACCAAAACGCCTGCCATTTAGTATACATAAATAAATACATTCACATACAAAATTACAGTAGAGGTAGGCAATTGAGTTTTGTTTAAAAGTTACGTAATTTAAAGCTAAATTAAATAAGAAAATTTCGGAATGGAAATGAGAAAAATTGAAGCTCTTGAGATCAAATTTCTTGAACTCTGCTAAATCGCTGAGACTGTGAAAGCTAAAGATTTTTTCCCAAACATTATTTCTGATCTTTTGCTGTCGTAATATCTGTTCAAAATCAGGAGCTCACTTTACCAATGACTCTAACATTCGGCATAATTTCAATTATATTTAAGATTTGAAAATGCGAAATCATAATTTTTCAATTCTTCCAGTGATATTTCTGTCATGACCAACCATAACCTTGGCAAGCCATAATTTTTGTGATATAACAGCATTCCATTCTTTGCCACGTTATCTCCACGCACCACTTGAGAGGAGCGCTATTACTGGTTAACTGTCTTTCCTGAATATCATTGGTTGTTGGGATCTGACCAAAAGAAAAATGACGCTTTTGCAGTAGTTGAATAGCTTTAAACGACGAAAGGAGTTCTTGCAGTCAGTTAAATTTGCTTTAAATAATTCAATCCGCTGCGCGTGCAATTCCTGTTGGGTGCAAAATGGAAGCTAAATATAATTGAATGTTTTGATCTAAAGTGGCAGAATGAAATCCAACTTAGTAATTTCACTCATATTAATTATAAAGCAAAGAGAACATTTATAAGAGTTTTAACCTGACTTGCTTTACCAGTGACAGTGACAGGGGGTGACTATCTAATTGATAGAGCATTCAGCGTTCCTAGTTGAGGTGTTTTAACACTAATTTAATTTATTTCAGAAGAAAAAATGGGTTTATTAATCGGACATAGACTAAGAAACTGCCTGAAGGAAATAGAAATTCAGTATTCAGAAAATTCAGAAAGATGGTTGCACAATAAATCTTTTTATTGGGTTTGGAGACTGTCAGCAAATTACTTATTCAAATAAAACTATTTTAT